GCAGTCGGAAGGAGCTGTGGATGAACTCAGACACCCCTTCCACCTGCAGGAGAAGGACGGCAAACACAAGAGGTTAAGGTGGGCTCCCTCTCCTATCTTGATTTTCCATGGCTGTGGACTTTCAGTCTTGGCTGGTAACCCTGGGGTTAGGAGCTGGGGATACTGGGGATGGCAGGCAGTGAGCCAGCAGTGTGGACAGGCTGGGACTGTGCTGGTGGGTGCTGCCCTAGGGCAGGTGAAACAGTGGGACATGGGACCTGCAGAGCCTGTGTGTGACAAGTGCCACACCCTCAGCAGAGTGGGTGCCCCTGCCCCGGCAGCCACAGGCCAGGGGGTGCATTCAGCTGAAACAGGCAGGGGTGTGCTATGGGCTGGGGACAGCGGCTGTGCCGGCTGAAGGAAGGGCTGTTCCTGGCTGTCATGGTATGGCCCTTTGGCACCCTGGCCTTACCGGGGTCTCAGCATTGTCCCACAGCAGCTGGGTGACCTGCTGGAGCAGCTTGGTGTCCTGGGCCAGGACGCGGGTCCCCGTCAGGTGCCAGATGGCAGGAAGGCTCTCCCGCAGGCGCTGCAGCCACAGGGCACAGGCTGCCAAAGCAGAGAGCTCTGCTGCAGCCCTTGCCCCCAGACTCGCCTGCAGCACAGCTGGCAACGGGCTGAGGGACCCCTTGTGCAGGGGCAGCAGCTCCCCCATTAGGTAATGAGAGCCCCAGAGGGTGTCCACAGGGCTGGAGCAGAAATTATTAGCAGCGTCCAAGTCAGCTACCAAGATCCAGAAAAGCATCTTCCCAGGGAGAAGACGAAGCACATGGGAGCTCTATGCACCACGAGCACAGTGAACCTTTCAGACCTCCCCACTGTGGCAGGGAGGTTCACCTCCTACCTTGGAAGCAGTAGTAGTGGCAATCCTTCTGCTCCTTGGTGAGGGCACACACAGCAGGAAAGACCACATCCAGCAGCAGACAGGCCTGTGGGAGCACAGTGGCTCAGGGAATAGGCAGGTGCAGGGACAGGCTTTCCAGGGTGAGAGAGCCCTGCTGTGAGACAGGCAAGGAGAGTGCTGCCTGGTTCTCCTGCTCTTTCAGCAGCTTATTGCTCACTTTCACTCCCTGCCTGAAAGTCCTCAGCTTCTGAGGACTTGGGAAAGGCTGGAGGTGGGCAGAGCTGGATGCCCCTGTGCTCTGCAGGGGCAGCTCTGGGTTTATCCCATGGGACCATGGGGTGAAATACTGCTTTGCTTGTGCAGGGGCTACTTTTGGCACTGCTTGGTTTCTCAGTCCTCCGGGAGAAGGAAATCCCTGCTCAGATGTCTTTGGAAAAAGCAAATTCCTGGCTAATTCACTGTGCTCAGTGGGATGCACAGAGCTGCTGGTGTGGAGCAGTGCAGTCTGGCTGTGTCCCCCAGGGATCCACAGACCCCATCAGAGGCTGTCAGCTCTCTCAAGGGCTCTCTCAAGCCCTGGCTGCTGGGTTTGAGCTCTCCTACCTTGTGAGGGAAGCCCTCCAGCTGGCAGCTGAGGATGTCCGTCTTGCAGCATGTCAGCAAACCTCTGGTGAGCACCAGCTTCTCCAGCCCATCTGGTTCCAGGACAGGGGGACCTCCACTGCCAGCTCCCCAAACTTCAGCTCCCCACTGCCTGGTGGAAAACAGCTGCACTGGATGGCAGGAAGGTGGCAAAGCCAAATGCTGCTCTGAGGGCAACTACCCTGGCTCATCCCAGAGTGGCCATGGGAGATGGCTGGAGGCAGCTGGGACTCCCAGACCCCGAGAGACAGACACAGTAGAGTCTGGCTTAGCACCAGCCTCTGTCCCCTCACACCCACCTTGGCTGGGGAGCTGGAACAGGGTCAGCATGGCGCTGGCCCCACGCTGGGGCTGTGGGGCCGTGTTCACCAGCATGCTCAGGGCTGTGCCTGCCAGCAGCCTCGTGTCCTTGTTCGGGGCCTGGACTTGCAGGGGAGGCAAAGGCACAACTCAAACCACCCTTTAGAACCAAACCCCATTTAACTGCCTCCTGCATTCCGCTGCAGGCAGCTACAAAGGATGCCTCAGACATGCCAGACACTGGGCTGCCTCTTCAGGCTTCCCTTGGGGAGGGGAATGGGGAAAGCACCTAGGAAGGATGGCATTGCTCTGCTCCTTGGGACAGGCAGCTCTATCCCTCTCAGAGCCTTACGTACCTTTCCCCAGGCCACCTCCAGCAGCAGTCCCAAGAGGCTCTGCAGGGTCTCACTCTTCCCCTCTGCGCTCCACACCAGGGGGGCCACGTCCTTTGGCAGCGTCTGGAAGAGCTGGAGGCAGGCCTGGAGCAGCAGGAGGGACGGGTGCCACAGGGATGGCCATCAGTATCCCTCACCTCCGAAAAAGCAGTGACGTCCCAGGAATGGCCATTCAAAGCGGCTCGATGTGTTACACCCCTCCTGGACACTGCTGCCAGTGCCCAGCCAATCCTTGCAGGTACTGATCCTTCTCCTGCTCTGAAATCCAGCTCTTACCTTGATGCCCAGGTAGCCCCAGGTGCTGCCGGGTGCGGGCTGGCTCTGCAGCACCCAGTGCAGGGTGCTGGCCAGGCGCTGCAGCAGCAGGGCCAGGTTCTCCTGCCAGTACTGCCGGCCCAGGCTGCTCTCCTCCAGGAACATGCACACTGCGGGCAAGGGGACAGCATCAGTGCCCTCCCAGCACTGTCCTCACAGCCAGCCCTGCTCCCCCAGCTCAGCCAAGGGCTGTGGTGCTGGTAAGTGAGGTGGGAGCGGGACTGGGATGACGGGGATGCTTTGGCTTGTCTGGTTTTCAGCTGTCCCAGATGGGTGGGCAGAGAATTCGGTGCTGTTGGGACCTCTGCAGAGATCCCACAGATGTGGCTGATCCCCTCTCCCTCTCCCATGAGTGCAGAGGACCCAGCCTGGGTGGGCAGGGGATGTCCCGTGCACTGGTGGTATGGGCTGGAGAGGCCCCCAGAGGGGAAGGAACAGAGACTGACCTGACTGAAGGTCCCCAGGAGACAGCACCTGTAGGGGCAGAAGGACAGCTTGTCCCACCTGATGCCATGCTGAGGCTCGGTGCCTTGGACAGGAGGGTCCTGCCTGCGCCAGAAGCTGCCCCAGGGATGAGCAAAGGGCTGGTGTGATGGGCAGCCACATGTTGCCAGCTGCAACCCAGGGCAAATCCACAGAATGGTGGGAAGTGAAAGGAAGGACCCCAAGCAATCCCAACCAGGAGGTCCCTGTCACTGGTCTCCACCCAAGCCCCCGTGAAAGTCAGTTCCACCGCACAGCTGGGGTTCTCTCACCTCTCCCTGCAGTGCCAGGCCGGCCAGCAGCGTGCCCACCTCCTGGGCCAGGAGGGCTTCCTTTCCCACCGCCAGCTGGGTCACCATCTGCTGGGAGACACCCTGAGTCAGCCACTGTGCCCGGACCCCCAGGAGACACCAGCTTTAGAGTGCTACCAGAGAGCCTGCAGCATCTCCAGCAAGGATGCTCTGCTCCAGAGCTGTGCCAGGGGCAGGCAGAGCGGGGCGAGACCTGCGCTTATGGCCAGTAATTGCTCTGAAGTCGCAGCCCAGCTGGTTGTGTTACAGACCTGTTCTAGTTTCTGGAAGGAGCTGGAGCTGCTGGTTGCCTCCATCTGGAAAGCCAGGATGCAGCGGAGCAGGGGTCGTGCCTCTGCCTCATCCAGTGCCTGCAGACCCTCGCTCAGCACCCGTGTCAGCAGCAGAGCCTCCTCCAGGTGCTTCTCTTTGCATCTCTTGGCAGTACTCCTGGAACAGCACAGGGATGGGGTGAGGATACCATGGCACGGTGGAGGTTGTAGTGGGAGGGATACCCTGGCTCGGTGGGGTCTGGGGTGGGAGTGTCCCAGCTCAATGAGGATTGGGGTGGGGGTGCCCCAACTTGATTAGGATTGGGTGGGGGTGCCCCAGCTTGGTAGGTGTCAGGGTTGCAGAGCCCCATCTTGTGAGGCTCCCCTCTTCCAACTGCACTCAGCATTGCACTGGGGGAAGCGGGGATCGGGTGGGGGAAGCGACACGAACTCCTCAAAGGTTAGAGCCTGCAAACCCTTTGTGGGGTGGGGCGGGTGGTGCGGAAGGACACGAAAAATCCTAAAGACTGCTGCCCTGCTGCTACAAAGCAGGCTGAAAGGGATTAGGGACACGTGGGGGTGGATCGAACTCCTTGTTGGGTACCGACCCTCTCACACTCCCTCCCTGCCGACCCGCGCCGGGGGGATGCTCGGGGGGATGCCGAGATCCGCGCCGGGCGATGCACGGGGGCTCCACACCGGAGGTTCCCCGACGGACCCGCAACCGGGGGGATACCGGGAGCTCCCTCCCCCGGGGCCCGCGGTCTTACCCCGCGAACTGGCGCAGGCAGCGCAGGCAGGACAGCACCGGCGGGGCGATGCCCAGCGTCCCGTAGAAGGCGGCGCAGGCCCGCGCCTCCCGCTCCGCTCCCATGGCCGGGAGCGCCACAGACCATAGAGCTCTCCGGAGCTCGGGCGGGCTCCGCCGGGCTCAGCGGCCCCCCCTAGCGCTGCCCCCCGGCCCGCCGGGCACCGCCGGGCACCGCCGGGCTCCCGGCAGCGCCGCTCCGGAGGAGGGATGCGCGCCAAGCCGAATCCTTCATCCCGACGCTGGGCCCACCGCCGGCGACATGCCAGGGGTTGAGAAGCATCATCATCATCATCCCAAACTGTTTCCACAGCCAGTTAAAAGGGAGAGACCCCAGAATGGCTGAAAACCAGGGAGGTGGTGCTGCCTGCCGAGCACAGAGGGGTTTGTTTGGTCAGTGGGAGGTGGTGTGAGATCTCTGAAATGCCACCTGGAATGCGTCAGGGTGAAACAGTTGTCTCATTCCACCGCGGTTCATTGCAGAAGAGGAGGTTTGGTACCCCACAGTCCTCCTGCTGCACCATGGGTGTCCTCTCTGGTAGCCAGCATCCCTACTAGCCTGCATCCCTAGTAGTAGCATCACTAATAACACCAATACCCAGTGAAGAGACTTCATTTCTTCCTGTAGGATGAAATGGCCTTTGGAGAGAGAGACACAGATTTATTATAGAACTAGATGTTAATTACCGTAAAATCCAAATTATTTTATTTGCATTCTTTTTGTCAGTTGGCAGAGGGTTGAACTATTTTAATAGGCACGATTTTAAGGTACCTTGCAAACCAAACCATTCCATGACTCCATTATTTCTGTGTTTTTGTTAAACATAGTTTTAGCACCTGACTAATGCATCCCACTGAATCTCAGCTATCCAGAGGGTGCTTCTTGGTTTTGACTTTGAAGGCTTGTTTTTATCCTGTGTTGTTTCTCACAGTGGCACTGAGGTGAGTGATGGCCATCAGCTGCTGATGCCACTGGATGAACCAGTGTCACAGGCAGCCCAGGAAAACTGGCTGGGATGCCCACGTGGCTGCACTGGGTGGCCAGGAGGATGCTGAGATGTGGCTCCCTGGGTGAGAACTGCACTTGGGGATGGAGAGCATCCAGCCTGTAGTTTTTGGCAGCATTTGTCAGCAACATCCATCTCTGTTCTGCTGTGAAACAGCCCAGGATTTGTCCCAGGTAAGTCAGAGGAGGTCACATCCCTCAGACCTGATTCTCTGTTCCCTGAGCACCATGGCTACCCCACAGAGATGAGAAGGGAATGGGGAGTAGCACTGCCAAACCAGAGCTCCCACAGGTGCCAGCACCCAGGCAGGGGCAAGGCAGAGGAAGGTGCTCCCATGTTGTAGGGTTACCAATGATCCTGTTCCCATCCCCTTGTGCTGCCTGCAGAAAGGAGAGGCAAGGGAGGGAAAAGGGGATTTTTTTCTTGTTTCATCATAGGAAGGATTTTCAAACCCTATAAATTCACTTTTGACAAGTGAACAGCTAAAGCAGATTAACCTTTTTGCTAATCCTCTATAATGGCTTTGGAATCTCCTTAACCAATAAGAAAATGATAAGAGCCTGTTTCTTTTCTTTTTATCTATATCTATATTGTCCTCTCTTGTCTGCATTTTTTTCCTTGCTTGTTTTATTTTCCTTTCCTTTTCTAATATGAAATAGCCCAGCGATCCTATCTCCCAGAGGCTCAGTAAACAGAACATCAAAAATCCCTTTCCTTTATTCCTCTCCCGTAACAGGGTGCAGAGAAGTGTCTGCCGATTGGGATTTGATTACCAGCAGCTATCAAAAGTCTCTTTGTAAGATCTGGATCCTAAATCCCATAATTCTTTGATAAAAGAAGTATTACCAGTCCATTTTCTGAAGTGAAAGGTACGAGAGGAATGAAAGAAAGCAATCAGCAGAGATCCTAATAGGCTAAGTGCGTGTGCTGTGGGAAGGCAGGGCCAGCCCAGGGAGCCCAGGGAAAAGGGTCCTTTGTTGGATGGGGAAGGAGAATTAATCCGCTTCAGGCTTATGATTATTACAGCCAAGAGCAGAAATGGTGGGATCCTTCACCTGCCATGGCATGTCTCAGCTCAGCAGCCCTACAGTCCTTCTGGACTGGCACACTGTGGGGAGCAGGACCTGGCCCCATATCCAAGTTCTGTGCTAGTGTTTGGACATGAATGAAAGCTGGGAGCAGTTTGTAATGATCTCTGGTGTTAGGGCATTCCCAGTGCTTCTCTGGAGTGCTGACACCTCGGCAGGGCAGCAGTGAACGTATCCAGACTGGGCAGCTACAAAGGCGTCTTCCTCTCAAACCTGCAGCAAACAAGTTAAGATTTGCAGATCATGGTTATAATCCAGGTTATGTCACCGGAACAGCTGAAGGGGAGGCAAATATAGGAATGGAATTACAGATAATGGTTTGGTTTTAAGTGAGTCACAGGTAGAACAGCCATGGGGCATCTCTTCCCAGCACTGGAATACCTCGAAGGTGAGGAAGGGCAGGCAGTGAGCAGGGCCAAGGAGAAAAGAAGGGGGATTGAGAGGGGGCTCTCCTGGAAACTGGCTGTCAGCTTTGCATGATGCCAGAGCCATTGCTGGGCTGTGGTTTGATGTGCAGTGGTTTCACAGCACCCACCTGTTTGTGTCATCGGTGTGCCATGAGAGAGACTGGTAACTTCTCTTCCCTGTGAGGAAACACCGAGTGGGAGAGCGCTCCCAATATGAGCTCCTGAGGCCTGGCTACTCAGCTTGGCTTAAACCACACTGAAGGTAAGAGAACTTGGTTTAAACTTTCCTAAGCAACCTGAGCTCAGTCACACCTTCCTCATTTTATTCCCAGCTCCTCGTTTCCTCCAGGCCTTGCTGTTTGCCCTTGTGAGGGTTGGAGCCAGACATCCCCTCCAGTCCTGAGTCACTGTTCCTGGCTGTAGCCTCAGCCCAGTTTCTCTGGCTGGACAGGAGTTGGGAATTGAACTGGCTTTGGGGAAGCCTGGCTGCTCCAGGCAGCTGTCCTGGCTGCTCTGGGCTCACTGAACCATGGGACCTGAATGCCTGCCTGAGAGCACATGGAGGCAGCAGCTTCAGTCCTCCCCTTCCCTTCCCGACACGGAGCACGGCACAGCCATGCAGGAGGTGGTTACATGCCACTAAGCTATGGTGCAGAGCTGCTGTGAGCTGCCAGTAATCTAATTTATTAAGGGCTTTGAATCCTTACAAAGAGTATGTTGGATACATGCAAAGCATCTGCATTATCAGAGTGATTAGTGCAGCAGAGGTGGGGGAAAAGGGAAGGAGGGAAAATACAATTTCTCTGCCTTCAGCAGAAAATAAATCAACTTTCACAGAGAGTTCTGGCACAGCCAAAGGCTGTGCTGTCATTAAAAAATGATTTTTTATTAAGCTGAACTCTCCTCTCTCATATTGTATGATATGACAGCTCTCTTTTGATGGGAAAGCTTTCATTTGGCCAGAGAAAGGGATAATTTGCTTCTTTTAAGGAGTTAATCCTCTGGTCCATTTCCGGGCTGGGAACAGCTATCCTCCCCCTTCCTTGGATAGGAGGCTGCAGCACAATGGAGATCATAACCACCTCAAATCTACACCCGAGATGGAGAAATCAGATTTCCTTCTCCAGTCATTTTTGTGGGATTAGCTAAATCTTAGATCCACACTAACCCTTCACAAAGCTGCCAAGATTAGTTAGAATTTATTTTATTCACAGGGGGGTTTACGGTTTTCTTTCCAAGGGGATTATATCTCTCTCTATATATATTTAGGGTGGCTTCAGTCATAAAGCAGCTGGGTCAGAAGGAGGAAAAGTATCCGTGCGTATGAAATAAAACCTCAGCTGCGAGAATGCCAGTCACTTGAAATGCCAAGACAAAGTAGTGGTTCTGATGGTTTTGCCAGTCCATTTTAAAAGCCATATAAGCTGTCCTTTCCCTTGCGAGACTCCACTACAGAGCTAGCGCAGGCAGACCAAACCCCCTCAGCCCAGGCTGCCTGGGCTCAGCACAGGATGACTTCAGAACCAGCACCAGATGGGGACCCCGGCAGGAGAGCCCTGAAGAAGCCGTGTCCGTTCAGCATCGAGGACATTCTCTCCAGCCCTGTGGAGAAGAGCCCCCAGGTCTTGGTCCCGCTGTGCCTGCGGGGCATCTTGGACTGCGCACCCAAAGGGCTGTGTGAGCTGGAGACCATCCCGGCCAGCTCCCTGCAGGAGGAGGAGGAGGAGGAGGAGGAAGAGCTGGAAGGGGCAGGCTGTGGCTGCTGCTGCTGTTCCCACACAAGTGCCCGGTCTCTGCAGGACTCGCCAGGTTGGCTGGGTGAGTGTTTGGGTTTGATTCATGGTGTGGGGCTCACAGGGGGGCTGGTGATAGTGCTGAGTGGGGGAAAACCAGGATGTTGAGTGGCATCTGTGGCATCTGGCCATGCTGTTCTCAGGCCCCAGCTCCAGCGAGCCGAGCTCTGCTCTCAGAGGTTTAGTGTGAAACTCTTGAGACGGTGATATTTCTAGGGACACAAGTCCTCTGTGGAGTGTGGGGCCCCATGGCCATGCTGCCCAAGTGCAGAGCTGTGCCTGCACTTCCTGACAACACCAGCCATGGAGAACCTCACTTGTTCCTTAAAGAAAAGAGTTTTGGCTACATCTCACAAAATTACTGCATCTAGGGTAAAAAAAAAAAGTAGTAAACCCTTAAAAGTGCAGTTCAAGAGCATCCTGAAAGTTCAGAAATCCCCCATGTCGGGACTGAAACAGCTCCTCACCAGGCTGTGAGTTTCCAGCCATTTTCTGCAGCCTTAGTGCAAATGGTACGTGACCAAGGAAAACCCAAAGACTTGCACCCTTCTCCCAAATGATGCCCTAAGCTCTTCTCTCGCTTGTGTGGGGACCACTCAGCCCTGTCACTGCTCCAGGTGACTGCAACATGCATGGGTGAAACTTGTGCCTGAGCTGCCTCGAGCAAGACGGGTGTTCCAGCCCCCGACCCCAGCACTGTCCCTCTCCCTGTCCCCTTGCAGACACCCAGCTCCCCTGGCCCATGAGGCTCTTCCACTCGGCAGTCAGGGTCTGCAAGAGACCCCAGGAGAACTCCAGCGAGCTGCAGACTTTCCACCAGATCCAGCGCCGGACGCGCCGGCACCGCACCATCTTCACCGAGGAGCAGCTGCAGGCCCTGGAGACGCTTTTCCACCAGAACCAGTACCCGGACGTCGTCACCCGCGAGCACCTGGCAAGCCGCATCCACCTGAAGGAGGAGAGGGTAGAGGTGAGGTCCTGCCACTTGGTGGGTGCTGCTTCCTGCAGTCCCCCAGGAACACAGACCAGGGCATTGCACTGTCCTTTTCGGGAGCTGCAGACCCAGGGCCTCGTTTTAAAAGTCTATTCTTGTGTACTTGACAAAACAGGACTTGGGAATGGCAAACAATGGAAGGATATAAACCAGTTTCTGCTGGGCTGATTTGTTCTGGTATCCAGTCCCACTGACACGATGCCTCTCTCCCAGAACTGCCTGTATAAACACACAGACATGTCCAACTCTGCCCATCCCCTGTACCCAAGTGTATGTTCCTTACTCACGTGCTCTGTGTGACTTCTGAACTTGCCATGGGATTGTCCCGACTCCCCTGTGCCCCTTACCTGTATTGCAGGATTGCAGAGGAGGGACTGATTAAATTTTGTATCAAACTTTCATATCAGGAAATGTATTACAGTGGCCTACAGCTCCCATGGCACAGTTCAGCAGCTCAGCTGCCTCCCCCCCTCCCAGTAACACACGAAACGCAAACGCCCTTTTCTTGTTTTGCACTTTTCTAGGTTTGGTTTAAAAATCGTCGGGCGAAGTGGCGGCACCAGAAGAGGGCGAGTGCCTCAGCACTGATCCTGCAGGGCACCAAGCAGCCTCCCGAGGAGAGCTGTTAGTGCTGTGGGTGCTGTGGGTGCTGCAGCTCAGCAGAGACACACCAAGAGCACCCACTGCCCGTGGCTGACAGGCTCTGCAGGGGGGTGACCCGAGGGGCACTAATGAAGCAAGAGGGAATCTCTGTGATTCACAGAGGAAGAGGACAGGTAAAAGCAGGCACGGCACTTTCACAGCCCTCTTGCAAACCTATTTCACGTGGTAAATAACTCGGCAGGCATGGGGTGCAGGGGACAGAGCTGTACCAGTGTGAAATGTCTGTGCTTCAAGAGGAGAGAGTCCCCTTCTTGTCTGTGCCCTGTACATGTAGTATTTGTGCTTGTTTTACTGCTGTAATTTGCAAAACATCCTTCGAATGAATGTTTCCTATTTGCAGCACCTCAGTGGCATCTGGAGTTGATTTGGGGGTGGCACTTGCTGAACAGGCGATTCATTCCGTAATAAAGAAACTGGGATTTATCCCCACAGCCCGAGGCAGAAATGATCCATGGGTTGTGATGGGAGGGCTGGCACAGCTCTCTTTGTAGCATCCAGGTCCTGTCAGAGAGAGCCATGTCTGTGTTCCTGGCAGGGACAAAGAGAACCCATGTCCTGTAGAGCACCGAGATCCGTAAAACTGTCCTGTCACCTCTGCCCGAGAGGCTGGGCAGGGGTCCCGCTCCCCAGGGACACCTTCCCCATTCCCAACCCTGGGGATCCCGGGGTTTTTCTGAAAAGGCCTGAGGCGGCCGTGGGGGGTACTGGGGGACGCGCCCAGCTCCCATCCCAACTCCTATCCCGGTTCCCATCCCAGCTCCAAATCCAGTTCGCCCTCTGCTCCCATCCCAGTTCCCATCCCAGTTCTCATCCTAGCTCCCATCGCAGTTCCCATCCCAGCTCCCATCCCAGCTCCATGCTGTTCCCATCGCAGTTCCCATCCCAGCTCCATGCTGTTCCCATCCCAGTTCCCATCCCAGCTCCATGCTGTTCCCACCTCAGTTCCCATCCCAGCTCCCATCCCGCCCCGCCGTCCCAGAGCGGGACCGGGCGGGTCCTCCCGCCCGGCAGGGGGCGCTCGCGGGCGGCGCGGTGTGTCGCAGCTGTGCCGTGCCGGGGCGGAGGAGGAAGAGGCCGCGGCCGCCCCGGGCCCGCCGCGATGGAGGCGCTGCCGGCGCCGCTGCCCGCGGGCTCCCCCGCCGCCCTGCTGCCCGCCGCGGGCCCCGCCGCCGTGACGGCCAAGGGGACGACGCCGGCGGCGCCGAGGCAGACGAAGAAGATCCTGGATGAGGAGGCCTACATCGAGGTGAGGCGGCGGGCCCTGCTGCGCCGGTGCCCGGGCCGAGCGCTTCGGGTCGGCCCGGCCGGGTCCGCCCGCGGCCGCTGCCCGCTGTAACCGCGGCTGCGGGCCGGGACGGCGCTGTGGCCGCCCCCCGGGCCGAGAGCGCTCCGCCACCCGTGCGGGGCCCGCGGGCTGCCCGTCCTGCCCGGGGCTGTGCCGGCCCCGAGCTCAGCCCCCGCTCCCGGGTGTCCCGCCGTGCCTTAGCAGCTGCCTGTGTTTGCAGAGCTTGGAGAAGATCATTCAGCGGGATTTCTTCCCCGACGTGGAGAAGCTGCGGGCGCAGAAGGAGTATCTGGAGGCTGAGGAGAACGGCGACTTGGAGAAGATGAGGCAAATTGCCATCAAGTTTGGCTCCTCCTTGAACAAATCGTCGAGGGACACACCTGCACCCTGTAAGAAGTGTCTCTCTGAGGCATCAGGAGTTTGTATCTGATACTGTTGCTCTGCTTTATTTAACTGGGTGCAGACAGTGCTTATCTGAAAGGTTAAAGATTGACATTGCAGGAGAGTTACTGCTCCAGATTGGGCAGTAGCCACTGGTGGCTGATGCTGAATCTCTCTTTGATGGTGTCTGATAACTCCTTATTGAAGGAGGGGTTTTGGACGAAGCAGCTTTTGAATAGCCATTCCTTACAGGCATCTTTTGCCAAGTTCCTGCTCCTTGGAGAACAGGGAGCACATGCTCTAATATGCAGTATTAATGCTATCAGAAATCCTAAGCTGTGTTTTGAATCCTTACTGCAGTTTTAGGTGTTCTTGTTGTACCTACAGATGTGTAAGGTGTAAGGTTTTCATGTATTAGCGACAGAAGGTGTTGGAATCTCATGGTTATCAGAGGTTCCCTCAGCAGGAGAACAACTTTTTAATTAAATTGTTGTTCTCTTGTGCCTTCTGTGACTTGTTTGGCACATGACCCTCAGAGCAAGAGTCCTGTTCTGTGCTCTGGTAACCAAATGAACCTTTATTTTCTGTGACAGATGTTACCCCAGCCACGTTTGAAACCCCAGAAGTGCATCCAGGCGGCCTTCCACTGGGAAGTAAATCCAAAGGCGGCATCAAATCTTCAGAAGAAGGTAGGAGAATGTTGTTTCTCTGGGTGAATTCTTCAGCAGCTGGAAAATATTCTTGTGAGCTCTGTCTGCTCTGAGGGTTTTGGGTACTTAGCAAATGTTTAAGCAGTTTTCCTTTAACCTTCTGGTAGGTGAAGATGATCCCTCTGAAGTTGAACTTGATGTAATGATGTTTTATGTCATCTGTGTGAATTCTCTTTGTGACTGGGTAAATTCTTAACTAACTTGATCTCTTCAAATTTTTCCTGTGTCACCTGAAATAAATTCTGTCAGTAAGCAGAGACTGTAGGGGCAGAGCTGTCTGTAGGGCACGTTACAAATGTCTGCTAGCAGCTGGCCACTTATGTGCTTTACCTTTAGAACAAATAGCTATAAATGCCATGAAAGGTTTCATGTAAAAGTTGGTTGTATGTGTTCCAAAAAAGATTTATTACTGTATGAATGTATTTGTTTCCCCAAGTTCTGTGTTAATTGTCAGTGTGTCCGTGGAAGGCTCGCTGCCAGGAGGATTAGCAGTTCTGTGTAGTGCTCTCATAGAAAGGGAGGCATTAACCTTTCTCAGGCTTCTTCCTTCCTCTTGTTAGGAGATGCAGAAAAAGATGATAAAGATGCCCTTCCCAGCCTGGACACCTTCCTGGCCAAGCACACGAGTGAAGACAATGCTTCGTTTGAGCAGATCATGGAGGTGGCCAAGGAGAAGGAGAAGGTCAAGCACGCGTGGCTGTACAGTGCAGAGGAGGAGTACACTCGGGTAGGAGCTGCCTCAGCTGTGTCTGCCCTTCCAGAGGGGCACAGCAGGGAAATGCCATTGCACTCTGTTTCTTACTTGCTTGGTAAACAGAGTATTGTCTTGCCTTCTGTTTTCAAATCTTACTATAAATGCTGATGAGAATTGTTGGCTCTGAGAAAGGGGCTGTTGCATTCGGCTGTTCAATTACTCATATTATTGAATAAGAGTAGAAAGATCTCAACTTTGCATAGTGGGTGCATAGGTTGATCATGACTAAGTCTGAGCTAGGCCTGAGTCCTGTGACTGCTCTTTGCTTCTTTGTGCAGTCCTGTTTTTTCCCCATCTGTAAGAACGGTGTTGACTTAGTTGCTGAGGATTTGTCTCTTAGAGCTTTGAGACTGAAAGCACTGCACTGAGTGCAAGTATTGCTGTCCTTGGCAGTCTCCTCCGTGAGCAGCAACACCAGGGAGAGCAGCTGAGAACAGTTCCTGGTGTTTGTCCATCAGCCCTTTATTGTTTGCATTAGACTGTGTGTCTCAGTCCAGCTTCTTGTTTCTGTTACCAGAACTAACCCCTTCAGCTGCCCAGGCACAGTGCTGTGTGAGCATGGCTGGCTGTGCTGCCTTCCTCAGCTCCCTCTGGGGCAGGTCCAGAGCTGTTCAGGGGCTGCCTTGTCAATCCTTAGCCATCAGCAGTGAGCAGCTGGCACTGCTGCCAGATGTGTCAGTGATGGATGAGGGCTGCAGTGCCTTTAATGAAGTTTGGCACTGACACATGAGTGTTTACTGCTGTTGTGAGGGAGTGTTATTTTTTTATCCCAGCTAATGTAAACCCTCAGAGTCTGTTACAGTAAAAATGCCCTCAGTGGCTCATTATACATCTTGAATGCTTTCATCCAGAATTAAAAGGCAGGCAACAGGAGAGCTCTTGCAAAGCACAGGGATTGTTTCAGGTCAAGGTGAAGCTACTGGAGCTGATCTTGTGCTGGAGTTGTGTCTTGCTGTCAGCCAGCACTCCGGTCAGACCTTGCATTTCCTTGCATAGTGTGCTCCATAGGGAGTGGTTGTTTGGAAGGTCACCTGGGATCAGGATGGTTTCTCAAATGCCAGTTGCCAAAGAGAGAGTGCCTGTGCTGTGCCTAATGCAAAGTGTGCCTGGATAGATGGCTGACAGGCTTGTGATGGACCTCAATAAACCTGTGTCTGCCTCAATAAAGATTGCAGGAGGCTGTTTCAGACCTTTTTTTTTTTTTTTACCTTTTAAAATATTTTTCCATTGCCTTTTCAGCGACAAAATGAAAACCTGGCACTTCCTTCAGCAGAGCAGCAAGCTCTGGAGAATGTGAAAGCTGGACTGGATACCTGGGAATACACGGCTCGGAACACCCTCATGTATTACCCAACAGGTGAGGCACACAGGTCTTGTGGGAAAGGCACTGGTGGGTTGACTCCAAACAGTGCTTACAGCATTTTTATGCATGACTGAGCAGCTCTTACACATAATACTGCAATTTTTCTTCTGTGAAGCTCAGATATGTAAGGTTGGTTCTAAAAAGTACATTTTCTTTTTTTCCTTCTCTTTCTTACTTTCTCGGTCCTTTGCCTCTGATTCCAAAGTTTGATCGTGTCCTATTTGTCATTGAAAAGCTCATTAGCTATTATAGAAGCACTTGTTTTTGTGAGCCAAGTCTGTCTTCTTTATGAGCACTTTGTTACCATCTTTATTCATTTTTTGCTTCTGCTCAAAGAGTGCTACTTGGGCTTATATAGGAAAATACGTAATTTTGCAAATGCAGTTTTCTTTCTTGGCTATAAAACGTACAACTGATAATTTCTGTGAACCAGTGAAGTAGAGAAAAGAAAGTCTTGTTTACTTTTTTCTTTAAAGAAAAAATTCTATTTCAGGTGGTACAAAGCATGCATCTAGTGCAAATTTTGTTTTAAATTGCTAGAGATACACACTGAAATTGCTGATGTTTTGTGTTGTGTAGGAATGTGTGGCAAGTGCCATGTTGATCATGAGCTTTAGAGCAACTGCCTGGTGTTACCTGAGCCCTTTCTTAAAAGCCATTTTGCTTTTCAAGGTGTACCTGATGAGAGTGACGTCTTTAAGAAGCCCAGGGAAGTTGTCCATCGAAACACCCGCTTTGTGAAGGACCCTTTTAGCCAAGCTGTGAGCAAATCACAGCTCCAACAAGCTGCAGCCCTCAATGCTCAGGTTGGATAATCTTACTTCTTCTGATTAAAACCTAGTTACTGCTCTGCCCTCTGGTGTGGTTCATCCTCCAGGAGAGCTGTGTGTGTGCTGGGCACAGCTGACTCACACCTTTCTCCTCGTGACTGGCCTTGTCTTTTTTGTTTCAGTACAAACAGGGCAAAGTGGGACCAGATGGGAAAGAACTGATACCCCAGGAGTCTCCAAAAGTGAACGGATATGGATTTGTGGCTACCCCCTCTCCTGCCCCAGGTAAGAGGGTTTTCTTTTTTCTCAGTTTTGAGATGCACTTATTTTGTTCAACACCAGGGTGTCATTACTGCGTTAGACAAGGAGGTAAAACCTTCTCTCTCTGTGTACCTCATGAGCTGGTGACATTTTGTGTGCCGTGTATGGCAGCTCGATGCAGGGCTTAAATCTCAGTCCAATTCACTGCTGGAAGTCACACTGTCCTGCAGGCTCTGAGCCAGCTGCTGTACCATTCAGTGCTCAGGAATCACCTGGAGCATGGTGAGCCTCCCTTGGCAACTGCAGTGCTGCAGCTGCTTGTTTTGTCCCTGGGTGACGCCTTTCTAGCGCTTAAAGATAAGAATTCAAACACTTCACAAACATTCACCTTCCAACAAGCTCAGGTGCTTATTCAAAATGAGGAGTATTTGTGTCAGTGTGTCCTGACTCAGTGATGGTTCAGCCTGGCTCAGAGGGATGTGGCAAATCCCACTTCATTCACAGTCTAACCCGCTGTTTTCATCCAGGTCTTTTTAGGTTCTTCCTTTGCCTGGATGCACTTGTGTGTTACAGATGTAGTAGCTGCGGGATACTTTCAGTTAGAACAGACTGTTTATTTTTCTTCCAGTTGAAACCTGGTACCTGAATGTACAGCTGTTCTTCACCAGCCATGCTGTTTCTGTTTCTTTGTCCTTTATGCCGAAGAGTGACCGTACTGGGGCTTTCCCTCCGGACAGCCTGCAGGTGGCGTTTGGAGCGCACCTCTCTTATCCATTCAGTGCCTTTTCCAAGCGCTGGACAGTTGGATTTTCTAGCCAGAGATTTGATTGGGCTCTTAGAATCCGTTCTGCGGCTGTTGACCAAGGCACAGTCACTGTCTGGCACAGGGTGGCCAGAAGGTGACTGGAGGGTACACTTGGCTGTAACGTTTCCTAAGTCCTCCGCCCCTGTTCCTGCTTTTACAGAGTTCCCTGTGTTGAAGGAGTTTTCATACAGTGGCAGAGGGGAAGAGTAGTGCAGAGGGGAAGAAGTAGAAGGAAAAGTGAAAGTGTCACTAAGCAAAAGCTCACCAAATGGAAAAATAAACACATGGAAAGGACAGTGCTTGGCTGTTGTAACCGAGAGGGTGACACAGCTACAGGCAATCCTGGGAGTTTAAGGTTCCCCTGTAATGGGAACCACACGTTAGTGTTCACATTGGCTGTGATTTCCTCTGCAGTGGGGGGGCTCCTTGGTGTGTTGATGAATTTGGTGCATTTCCTAATGTGCTTCTCTTTTTTTTTTTTTTTTTTTTGTGGTGAATGGACAGTCAAATGTCTTGCATGGGCATGACTTTTTAAATTTGTTTCTAGGTGTGAATGAGTCTCCTTTTATGACATGGGGTGAAATCGAGAGCACCCCTTTGCGTCTGGAAGGGTCAGAAACACCCTATGTGGACAGAACACCTGGACCAGCCTTCAAGGTATCTCATGTCAGGGAGTCAACAACCTGTTCTCTTTTTTTTTTGGGGAGGACTAAGAAGGGAAAGGCAAGTGAGTAAGTGATAGATTAACATTGTTGTGGAGTGTGACACATCTCTGGGTGGTGTTCCCAGTCCTTGAGACTAATAATCTAGTTTGTGCTGGAGGGTGGAGGTGGGCATGGATCCACATGAAAGACACTTGGTACCTGAGGTGGAATATACACTGCTGGCAGGAAAATGACATTCTGTATTTGATGGTGGGCCCAGACAGAGGGGCTTTCAGAGGAAGCTGAAGAGACACTCGATTTCTCTGATTTTAATGTATGAACGGGTGAAATTGTAGGATTTTCCTCTGTCTGGATCTTCTGGCTGTCACAGCCTGAGGCAGATGTATCAACTGAGAGTAGAAAAGACACGCTGGCTTCGCTAATGGCACCTAACCCTGCATGCTACCTGTCCCCTGCTGGTGTCATTGAATGCGAGCTGAGACTCTTGAGTTTGAGAAAGGTGTAATTTGCTGTATGTGCCTCTTGTTTTGTCAGACTCCAAAGCCTTTGACTGGTTCTCCTGCTGTTTAGCAATGTCTGTATTTGCCTGAGAGCTGGCTGGCTACAGGCCAGGCAAGACACAGGTGACATTGTTTGTCTAGGAGAGACAGCAGGAGGAAATGCCAGAGGTAATGGCTGCTTCCTTGACTGGACTGGTTTTACCATTTCTGTTACTTGCTAAGGCAGGTTGAAGGTCTCTGTGTCCTCTCTGGCTTTTTTATAGCAGCAGAGAGGTGCAGGCTGACCCAGGCTCTCCCTGGTTTAGATCCCTGTACACTGGAGTCCAGCTGTGGAGGGGCTTTGACTCGTTTTTGCAGCACTCACGAGTGAACTGTGCGATGCCTTTACAGATCCTGGAGCCTGGGCGTCGGGAGAGGTTGGGACTCAAGATGGCCAATGAGGTGGCAGCTAAAAACCGAGCAAAGAAGCAGGAGGCACTTCGAAAAGTGACAGAAAACTTGGCCAGGTGAGACTTGTGTTTTGACAGCAGAACTGGGGAGGGGTGTTATCTGATGAGATTTAAATCCGCAGGTGTAGAAAGGGAGGAATGGTGGAAGGGAAGGATGCTGGAAGCAGGAAGAGGTACATTTGGACTGAAAGTTTTTAGAAATTAAAAATTTAGATATTAAAAAACTTAATTCCTGAGGGAAAGTGGCTGGTGACTGTCCCTGATACTCCCTCTTGTCAGCATTGCTGTTCTGCCCTACAGCCACCCAACAGTGGGTCAGTGTCTTGCCTCATTGCAAAGAGGAGACACGGTAAGACTTGTGTGGCTGGGTCATGGGAAGGACAGAACAGGCTCAAAGGAAATGTCAGGCAGTGCCACTCAGGTTTGGGAGGGATGTAGGAGGTTTCTCTGCCACTTGTCTCTAGAGATACAGGCTGTGTTTACCTGCAGGCAGGATGATTTCTGCAGGCAGTAGGTCTGGTTTGTGGGGGGAGTGGATACTGAGCTCACCTGTGGAGGCAATAATGCTTTTTGTGATAGAGGCAGATTTTTTTACTGTAAAATCTTTTAAAACTGTTTATTCTATTTCAGCCTCACTCCAAAAGGACTAAGCCCAGCAATGTCACCAGCTTTGCAAAGACTGGTAAACAGGACTGCAAGTAAATACACTGACAAAGCCCTGCGAGCCAGCTACACCCCCTCCCCGGCCCACACAGGAACTCCTGGTTACAAGACCCCGGCCAGTGGGCCCCAAACACCCCAGGGCACCCCACAGTCTAGGACAGTGTCTCAGACACCGGTATCTCAGGATACCACATCGATCACGGACAATTTACTGCAGCTTCCTAAAAGAAGAAAAGCATCTGATTTCCTCTGAATATTCCAGTCACCAGGAAGGTGGTGGTGACCTGGCTGGGCTCAGGACTGCAGACTGGTTGTTGGAAACTGAAGGGAAAATGAAGATAATTTTCTCTGTTTGTCTGTTTAAGCTGGCCACGCATTTGAATTCGTTTCTGTACAGATACACCTATTTCTAAAATGGGCTAAACCTTCCTAAAAGGCTGAACTGGACTTTGTTCCAGCTTGTCAAACTACTTTGAGTTTGTACTTTGCAGAAGAGGGGACACAGCTGTGTATACTGAGACATGACAGAATTTTGGAGAGGTTCTCTTGAATTTGAATTTAAACTGCTGCAGTTCACAAGTTAGACCAACTTTGTGATCTTGTTAAAACCAGCAATCCTTAAGAGGATCCCTGTTCCTCCTCCACTCCTTACACTTGTGCAGAATGGGATTTGCCTTGCTGCCTTTGCTCAGGCTTTTCTTTCCACGGGTTTTGGGCTCGCCCTGTTCTGCAGCTGGCAGAGGGGAAGGGACCAGATTTGTTTTTATAGCTGCTCTGTCTGTGACTCAAAAGACTTGATGATATTGAGGATCACAACACAAGGGCTGGGGACATTCCTGGGTCATCCACCAGGGTGACAGTGCCATTCTGGAGAACAGAAGTGGTACTTCTGATAGCCACACTGGGGCTTTTGTTTGGTGTTTTCCTCACATTCTTTGAAACTTTTGGCTAATTTTTAGAACTAGGAAAAAAAAAAAAAAGAAAAAAAGCGAAGCAATTTTAACCATTCGTAGCCTGCACTCAGAGCTGCGGTTGCTCCAGTGTGAGCTGGCCTTTGTGTGTGGGATGAGCCCTTGTGTGGTGTGATCCAGCCCGGAGAAGCACCGTTCACCGTTTAGAAGGAAGCAGAAGTGGCCAGATGTGTGCACTTCTTGCACCACACCTGAGTACAAGACAGCCTGTGTAATGCTTGGCAGTGTTGACATTTGCTGTAATCACGTGATGTTTTACTGGAGGAACATCCATGGAAAGTCTTATGCAGCTCTGAGGAGTGTCTGCAGCCTTCTCTAAGGTCTGGGGTGTTGGATGTTGTGTTTGTCTTGGTGGAGAACTTCCCCTTCTGTGGTTTCCCCTGCCACTTCCAAAACTTGTGTCCCTGACTCCGAAAAACCCTTCCAAGGGACTTGAGTTTTATAGTGCACCTTGTAAAAATAAATTGATCAACATGGCATTTCCAGGAATCATGACTCAAGAAATTAATAATTTTTGCCTTTTTAGTCCAGAAATAATTGAAGGCTAAGTTTTTTCTTTAAGCAGAAAAATTTATTCTCAGGGACCACTGAATGAACATGAAAGGAATCCACTTACTAAAGTTTCTGTGCTTTTGGAGATGTCCTTTAAGAACAGAACTGGCTAAATACCAATCAAGTTCTTAGGTAATTTCAAATACTAATTATTTATCTCATAGTGAAATGCTTATCTCCATTAAACACAGGAGCTCTCTGCTGGAGTACACAGGCAGATGGTCAGGCCCTGGCCTGGAGTTTGAGTCACTAAGGGGACCGGGAGCAAGGAGTAGATGTGAGATTCCAACCCGTTTGTGGGTGTGGCAGTTCTCTCCTCTGAGTGTGGGGTGCACGTGAAGACTGGGCAGTGTTTCAGGGACCGTGGATGAGGAGTACACATGGGTCAGGAGCGGGATGTGACGTGTCTGCCACGGCATTTTAAACTGGTTGTGCTTGTACCAAGGTGTAGCTGGGATAATAGAAAGGGAAATACGATGTCTGAGAGTGGTTAGTTCCGTGTTGTGCAATTCGTGCCTAAAAGCAGATTGCATTAAATATCCTGTGGATGGTGTTGGTTTTGTGTTCGCCCTCAAGTGAATTAACCTAGGCAGCTGTACTAAAATCACAGTCTTGATTCTGCCACACTGAAGGGCCTTCACATGGTTTCTGGAAATGTAATTTATTTTCAGTTGAATGCTATAAAACTGGATCTCTTGAAGGGGCTGTAGTGCTCTTCAGATTGGCTGTTCCTGTAACGCCTGCTGTAATGTCTGGTCTCTGCTTCCTGCAGCAGCTCAGCCCCTGATATCTGTAATTAGGGAATCAGTAAATATTGCCAGATATTTTTGCTGCTGTAGCAGTGGCAGATAATCTGCCTTACAGGGCCAGATCCAGTGGGAAAAACCATCTTGGTTCTTGATGATTTGTGATTTTTTTTTTCCCCTCCCATTTTTCAGCAGGTTATTTTTCTCTTGCTGTTCCAGTATATCTGCATTTTCCTGTGTCCAAGGTCCAAGCACACTTCCTCCCTCAGCCAGAATAGCACCCAGAGCTCTCCTAAGGCTGCAGGGGTGGTTGGTGGTGAGCAGTGGTGGCCGTGGGGCTCTCCTGGTAGCTCTCACAGGGCTGGCTGCTGTGGGTTATGGGCTGCTTGGAAATTGCAGGAGCCTCACTGGACCTGGGGCCGTGTGGTGTGACCTGGGGCTGTAACACCACATCCAGAGTCTTGGGTGCCTGCACGTGCAGCCTGGGCCTTGGCTGTTTGCTCTGTGCAGGATAGAAGATGAGAGACCACAAGAGATTCGTGTTCTGATAAGTCTTATCACTGAGCCCTGAGATGGTTCTCTGAGCCCATCCCCTTCAGGACCAGGAGCCTTTCCCTGGGCCAGGGGTAACCAATCCTGCCATGGTGCAGGGGCTGCAGCTTTTCACCTACCTGAAAACAGGTTCCTGTAAGGGCTGGGGTTCTGCTGCTTGCTACGTCTCTGAGTAGAAGTAGTACTTAGCTGAGAAGGGAAGCTGTGGTTGGAGATACTTTGTTGTTTTGGGGGATTGGGCTATTTCTCTGTAAAAATAGAGGAAATAGATCTGCTCACTCAGGAGAGTGGGAAATGAAGCAATTCCCACTTCCTCATATTTGCATTTCATGCCTCAGTCCCAGCTGCTGGCCTAACAGCAGCTGGCTACAAACCCCAGCTCAGAGTCAGGCCAGGACCAGAGCTGGGTTCAGCCACCACCCCCATTAGCCCCTTCCCTCGGCTACAGCAGCACAGGTGCTCTGCACATGCTGGTTGGAGAAATACTTGTTCCCAGTAGGAATCGGAGTGCCTGGAACATGCCAGCTCCCACACACCCTGAACAGAGCCAGGGACAAGCAGCCTGTGCCCTGTTCTCATGGTGGAGGCATCGTAGGATATTTATTTATGCATCGTGGTGTATGGTGCAATGGCCAGGCCCTGAGTGCCATGGGTTTGGGGTGGATAAGGAGTGCCCTGGATCAGCCTAGGGTTGGCCTGTGAGGCTGTGCCGCAGGAAGCCAGGAACAGCCTGTCCCCACAGCATCCCATGGGAGGAGCAAGGCTGGGAGTTTGATGCTTACGCTTTGTACTGGACTATGCTGTCATGCTTTGGGTCCCCACAGACACAGGATCATGACAGTATTTGGCAGTACACACGAGTTGGCAAAGTGGTTTTGGCCTAAATCTTCAGGCAGTGTCCTGCTGCTTGTGACGCACTCCAGAGGGTCCCTAAGCACATGTCCCCAGCCACGCAGTGCTCCTGGAGCCCCCAGGGCTCACAGCTCCAAGCTCAAGCTTGCTGCTCCTCCAGCTCCAGGGACTTCTTGGCAGGCACCAATTTCCACTGCCACGTTAAACTTGACATTTAGGTTTGGAAAAAGCACCTCCCTGGTGTTGATGACCTGAGCACGGCAACAGCTCCTGTGGGGCCAGAGGAGATGATGCTCCAGAAATCCCACAGAAGCCCTCATTCCCTGCCTACAGGTCAGCAGCTGGCCTGGGCAGTGGCTGAGGGGCAGCAGAAATATCTGTACATCCATCGGGAATACCCCTGAGGGAAGTTTGTCACTTGGTATAGTGAGTAACTGATATTAATGGGGAAACGAGGAGTGTGTAAAATTGGGTCAAAATGGTTTTAGTGTTTTGAGAACTTCAAATTGTAGCATAAGAGTGGCAAACACCTTGTTGTAAACAAAAACTAAAAAAATATAAAAATGTCCCAGGCACCTTTCCAGACTGTGACTTTGCCACCTGGGCTGACCTCCATCCAGTACCAGTTGTGGCACTGGTCTGCTGCCTCCTCCCCAGCGGCAACACCCAGGGTCAAATTCCTACAGGCACCTGTCACTTGCAGGGCCACTAACAATGACCTGAGCCGCACAATTAGCTTTCTTTATGCACTTCCTCTCTGTCTGGGCCTGGGAGCTGGGAACGTGGTTTTGCCAGGAGGTGTGGAAACACCAGCCATCTCCAGCACTGGCTGTGGGGATGTCCCAGGTGCAGAGACTGTCCCGCCCTGCCCATGGTAGTGGGAGCAGAGCAATGAAGAGGCAAATGATGGTCAACCTGGGAGCCCGCTGGGTTAGGGAGGGTGGTGCCACTGGAAGTGTCTGCAGTGGCAGGTGAAGGTCATTGCAGCAGGGCTGGAGGGGACCTGGAAAGGCCATCCTGGGAGACAGAGGAGGAGCGTGGTTGGGGCTGGGGACAGGCACCATCAGGCTTTCTGGTGGTGATGGAGTTGAGCAGGAAAGGACACTCCAGCTGGGGACAGGGAAACGCTGTCCTGGAGGGAGAGGGGAGTGGTAGGAGCTGAAGAGAACTGAGCAAGGCCATCCCGGGGGGATGGAGAGACTGGGATTGCAGTGCTGGTGAGGACTGAGGGGACTGGTAGAGGCCATCCCGGGGGGACGGGGATAGCTGGCAATGTCCATTCCGTGGGACGCAGATGGAAGTGAAGACTGTTCCGTGGAGCACAGAGGGAACGGTGCGGGGACACAAAGCATGAGCTGTGCCGGGGGGCACGGAGACGCCTCGCGCCCTGAGGGGCCGCTGCGCACGAGCCCAACCCCGCCACCGCCCCCTGCCGGCGGCCCCGCCCCACTCTGCCGTCCGGCCCCGCCCACCGCCGTAAGTGGGCGGGGCACACTCGGGCCGGGGCGTCCGGCCCCGCCCCCTCGCAGCCGATTGGTCGGGTGGCGCGCGGCGGGCGGGGGCGTGCCGGCGCGGGCACGGCGGAGCGGGGAGGCGCGGCCGCCATCTTGTGCACCGGCGGAGCCTACGAGCGGCCCCAGCGCGGCCGCCCGACCCGCCGCTCCTGCCGCTCCCGCCGCACCCAGGGCCGCCCGCTCCCCGCCCCGGGGCGGCGGCGGACGGCGGAGGGAGGGGAACAGCTCAGTGCGGACGGGCCCCCCGCAGCCCCCCCGCGGGCCCGGCGGCGGCCCCTCCTCCCCGCCGCTCCTCGCGTCCCTGCCCGCGGGTTTGTGGCGCTGTGCCGGGGGAGGATGAACGGAGGATAAATGGTGCCCAAGGCGGACAGCGGCACCTTCCTCCTCCTCTTCCTCCTGGTGCTGAGCATCACCGAGCCGCTGCGGCCAGGTAGGGGCGGCGGGGCCGCGGCGGGGCCGGGGGTGCCGGGCCACCCTCCTCCTCCGGCTCAGCCCGCGGGCGGGTCCCGGGCTCGGGGGCGCCGGGGCTGCTCCGTGGCGGGGGAGCGGGAGGCGGGGGGAGCCCCGGGGATCGAGGGGCGCGTGTCCAGGAGCCGGTCCCGGCCCGGTTTGTGCTCTGCCACCGCTTTGTGCGCTTACACAGAGCCGGGACCCGGCCGAGCATCGGTGCCCTGTGCCGGCTGCCTGGAGCCGAGAGAGCCGGGACTTACTCTGTGAGTCAGGGAAAAACGCACCTGTTAAAGTGTGAAAGCTTGGGGAGAAATCTACATAACCCTACGGGCAACGAGCGCTGGAAATGTGGTGCCGGCCGTGACTTAAGTTTTCGGGTGCTTCTTACTTTACCTGCTTTTATGCTGTCGGCCTCGGGTACCATCACAGCCAGACAAAACACTCGCTTTCAAAGTGCCATTCGAGCCCGCCAGAAGGAGAAAAAAATGCTGCTGCACCTGGTTCCTGTGTCATCTGTCTAGTTCTGTTTGTGCTTCTTTTAGGGAAATAATTCAGTGATGGAGTTCTGTGTGCTAGCTGCTGGGCACGGGGCTTAAAATCTTAAGGTGATTAACTTTGGAGAAATGGTGTTTGCAGCTTTTCTTGGTACGCTGCTCAGCTGGGGTTTCTTTTTGAGTGTTGAACTCCCTTGGAGCTCGGCAGAGCCCTCAGGTGTCTCGGGCTGCTCCTGCCAAGGAGCATCAGCCAAAGTGTGAGGCTGCCTGGAGTGGCTTTGCAGGTTTGAGAACCGTCCTCCCATCACACCGAGCGACTGCTCCTGGGTGGCACTTGCTCTTTGTAAATAGGAGAATGAGAACCGTGGTGTACTTTGAAACCCCCTTGTTCTTTCTCGTCAAAATAACTTTTATGACCCAGACTAATAAAACGTGAGCTGCGTGTGAGCGAGTTCCCAGCAGAGCTGGAACACAATTGGGTCAGTGTAGGCAGAGTTACTGAAATAACTAACTTAGGTGTTGAAACTGCTCTGTGTTTGCCTTGTTTTGTTTTAGCTTGTTTTTTTGGCAGTGCGGTGTATGTACAGGGCTTATGATATGCACTTAAATAGCCAAAAAAGCAAAGTGCGTGGTGTTGCTAGCCTAGCATTATTACAGCTAGAGGCTTTTATGGCTGAGAAGGTTCTGTGTAAAACTGATTTCAGGCACCTCCTCTGTAGCTGTCCCTAAGTGCTACAGGCGGCTGGATTGCTGGCTGGAAAGGTTCAGATTCATAGCTGTCTGTGTGCTTTTACAGGTGGGTAGAGTTGACCCTGAACTCGGTTTTGAGCGTTGTAGCCTCCTAGAAATTAGCAAATGGCATTTTTCATATTGTGTCAGCACATTTGTTGTTCCAGTTTGGTATCGAACCTCTGTCAGCAGCTGATGCTTGATGGATGAAGACAAGTTTTTCACTGAGGTTTGCTTCTTTAAGACAAATGATTTTTTCCCAGTGGCTCTCTAATGTACCTTTAGAGTTTTGTGCTGCTGTAGCCTCACTGGCAGAAGTGTCTTGTGAGCAAACCTTAACTCATCTGCTCATGTTCTAACCACTGCCTTTGAAACCTGCAGCATTAGGATTCCCCTGTGGCGGCTCCACGTGCATTCCATGAATTTTGCCCAAACCATGTGTATTCCTCAACCTAATGTGAAGTAACACAGCTGGATATAGTGCTGCAGCTGGAGTTCCTTGCTGTGTGAGGAGTTTCTGAGTTCCATTTGGAATACACTCATCCATCCTGTTTACTTGGTGGC